GGTTCGTCAGATGGAAAAGGTCTTTGATTATAAAGGTTTTGATGAGCAAAAAGCCTACAAGGTTGCAAACCTAAAACTGACGAGATATGCTTCTCTATGGTTTGAGAATTTACGTGCCAAGAGATTGAGAGAAGATGAGCCACGAATTAATACTTGGAACGAGTTGAAGAGACAATTAAGGAAACGGTTCCTACCACGAGAATTTATCCAAGATCAATTCTTGAAGTTGAATCATCTTGAACAAAAGAATCTTAGTGTCGCTGAATACACTAAAGAGTTTGAGAAATTGTGCATGCTTTGTGATTTGCAGGAAAAAGAGGAGATGAAGATTGGACGATACATAAAAGGGTTAACACCTTCGATTTCTCACAAGGTGGAAACATCAAATTATGTGTTCTTTGATGATGTCTTAAGGTTGGCAGAGAGATTTGAGAAACAGGAGAAAGAAAAGAAAATTTCTTATTTCAAGGAGAGGAAGTCATTCTTTAATGGTGAGGGTTCGAATATCAACTCTAACAATTCAAACAATGAAGGGAAGATGATTGTTGTTACTCCCGAACAAGCTGCATTGGCAAAAAAAGTTTGTTTCAAGTGTCAAGGCATGGGACACATTGCTAGAGATTGTGGTAACAAAGTGACGGTATCCAAGAAGGAACATAGAATGTTGTTGGCTTATCTTGACCAAGAAGAGAAAGAGAAGGAGAGTACATGTTTGCTCAATACAGAGGAAGAGTTTGATTTTGAAGAGTTTGAGGGTCAAGAAAAGATTACTCCTGAACCTGAACATCACCATATCGGTATCTTAAGGAGAGTTTTGCATGCTAATTTTGTTCCTCCTACTACACATGAGCAAAGGGAAAATTTGTTCCATACTATATGCAAAGTGGGTGATAGGAGTTGCTCGTTGATTATAGATACGGGATCGTGCACCAATGTTGCATCTACTAAGTTGGTTGACACTATGAATCTTTCTACTAGGGACCATCCTACTCCTTACAAGCTTAATTGGTTACATGATGGAGATGGACTACAAGTTAAAAGGCAAGCTTTGGTGAACTTTTCCATGGGTTCATATTCTGATAGTGTATGGTGTGATATTTTACCTATGACTGCTTGTTCTATACTCTTGGGTCGTCCTTGGCAATATGATCGAGGGGTGTTATTTAATGGTGTTACAAATGTTTATTCAGTGAAGGTTGGGGATAAGAGAGTCCAATTACATCCTTTACCCCCTAAGGCGCCACCTATTCAAGCTCCTGCTAGAGAGTTGTTGATTATGCCTAAACTTAACAAAAAGGAAAGAAGGGCTAATATGTTGTCATTGAGAAACCAACACCCTTTTGAGATTGGTGAGTATGTTTTCTTATCTTTAAATGCTCAAAAAATCTTTAATAATTCTAGAGGTAAGAATGAACCATTAGAGGAAGGACCTTTCAAGATTGTGCATAGGGAGAATTATGATACTTTTCAAGTACTTCTTGGAGCGGGAATTTGCGCTACTATGAGGGCTAGTGACTTGGTACCTTGTCTTCCGAACGAAACTTGAGGGCAAGTTTTTTTTTTAAGAGGGAGGGAATGATGTGAATCGAGTCCCCTTCCTTATAACTATTTTTATTGCTTTATTTAGGTACTCTCTTGGTTTTACCTTACTCTTAAAGTAGGGGTTTTACAAGTGAGTTTTTAATAATGTTTTTATTATTTTCTTAGTAGTAGTTATGGGGCCTTGGGCTTCCAAAGTTGTGTTAATTAATTAGTGGGCTCTCTTGGTTCATTAATTAATTATTAGGGCTTTTTATTTAGTTTGCTTGCAGGGCAAGTAGGATAGATTTATTTTTCCTATATATACTAGTTGTATGTCAATTATTTTAACAGGATGTTTTATGAATTATAATTTGAGATTATTGAGCTTTTGCTTGAAGAGAACTTTGTTAAGGTTCAAACTAGTTGTTAACTAGGGTTTTGGGATCGTTACTCCTAAAATCAAACTTAGAAGTCGTTGCCTTCTAAGACTATCTTTCAAATTTCCACCATTAAAATCACTCAAATCCTTCCATCAAATATAAACCGTCAAAATACACATCAAGTACCTAAATATTTTTCGAATAGCTTCGTCTTAGAATGATTGTGATAATAAGGATTAGTTATAAGGAAATGCACCATTAAGGGATAAAGTTATGTAAAATGGATTAAATGTAAAATATACAAAAGTATTGTATATTTGTTTGTTAGACTATTTAAAGTAGAAAATTTTCAAGTGGTTCTTCTATTGAAAATTTTAGTAATTAGAGTTTGTAATCGATATGGAATGTATAAAATGAATGAGAAATATCATATGTTTATATATTAAATTTTATTTATTGGTTATTTATCTATAAATCATTTTATGTACGATTTCAACGGTTGTAGTTCTTAGGCTCGCATGTAAACGGTAATAGCATCTTAGTGTTTGACGCATTTAGTGAAATGACATTTATTGTGTACTGTTATTATCTTTAAATATTGTACATACTAATTTATGTACTAATAATCTTTCTTTCCCCTTTCCCTTCCTCCTTTTCTTTTTCGAGATATATATAGCTATTTATGACATTCTTATCAAAAAATTATGAGACATGCAAAGGCATATCTTTCAATATTCGTGGCCCTACCAAATTTGACAAATCTACACGCGTGGTTTTGGTGAAATAAATTGACTTACTACTCTCAAGAACTTTTTTTAGCAATTGAACGTCTTTGGTTTATGACAATAATCACTAATTCTTGATACATGTTTATTAGGATTTAATTAATAGGTTTATAATAATTTTAAGTTTTATTAGCTTAATTAATTTTTATCTTCAAATTTGTTTTCTAATTACCATAATAGGATGTTCTTGTGTTGTTTTAGGAAAGAGAGTTAAGGGTTTTGAACAATAGATTAAGTTCAATTTTAATTTGGTGCGTTGATTAAATATGTATTTTTAATTGTGCATATGTAAACATGAAATGCATGATAATGCGTTTTCTTTCTTATGTAACTACTCAATGGCTTTTAAGAGTACTAACTAATAATCTCTCTCTCTCTCTCTCTCTCTCCCCTTTTCATTTAAATTCTTTCCGACTTTATCTCCCCATTCCCTTTTTTAAATGGATTTGAAATTATAAGTTCACTTGCTCACATTTCACTCGTTTTTCCTTTATTGATGGCCCAAACTCTTTATCTATCTATTTCTTCTGCCCTAATCCTTCTTGTCCTTGTTCCATTCTAAAAAAAAGGCATTTAAAACTATAGATTGTACTTTATCGCTCTCCTTTTCCCCCAACATCTATCTTTCTTTCGTTTTCACCTAAGCCTTCTATCTCTTTCAACTTCTATTTATCTCCCTCTTTCTTTTGGCCTCTCTCTCTCTCTCTCTCTCATCCTAGATCATTTTTCTCATCACTTGGCTCCTCTCCCCCATCTCTTGGTTCCTCTCTCCTAGCCCTTCTCTGTCTATCCTTCGACATGCCCTTTACTTTTAGCTCATGGGGTGCCTTTTCTCTTTCCCTTTTAAACAACTTTTTCTCTCTTTTCATAGCAGCTTTCTCTCTGAGGCCCTCTCCCCCCCCCCTCTTGTGACCTTGTCTTCTCTCTCTTTCGTAGCACCTTTATGTCTCTCTCTCTCTATGTTGCCTTCTCTATATATCTATTCATTCTTTCTCTTTCTCCTAGACTTTTTTTCTCTCACGATCCTTCTCTTCCTTTTTTCCTGCCATTTTCACTCTTGGCTCCCTCCCTTTTTTTTCCTCTCTCGACCTATAGCTTCCTTTTCTATCCGCCCTACTTTTTTCGATCCCTCTCCTCCTATTTATTCCTTTATATCTCTCTTCCTCTCCTCTCTCGAGTCTCTCCCACTCAATTTTGTAGTCATAAATTTGTAGCTCTATTCTTGTCAATTTTTCTCGTAAGATTTTTCAAATTATATTGTTGTTTAGTAAATGTGAGTCGAATTCATTAAAATGGTGGTAATTAATTGGTGCAATGTTATGTATTAAGTAATAAAAACGCTTTTGATACATGTTTATTACATTAAATTTATGATAATTTTAAGTTATGTTCACCTAATAATTATCCTCAAGACTGTTTCTTATTTAATATTAATAATTTGTTCTTTTATAGTTTTACAAAAGAGCTTCTATAGGTTTCAATAATAGTATGTTGACTTTGAATATAGTTAGTTAATTAAACATGTAACTCTGGTAGTACTCAAACTAAACAAATCTTCTTTGAGTTTTTTCATGTGAATTAAGTAGGTTGTAGATTCCTTAAATTTATTATTGAGGAATGAGTATACATGTGTAATTTGGAGTTAGAGAGAGAGAGAGAGAGAGAGAGAGAGAGAGAGAGAATTTAGTTGGGAATTACATCCTTCGTTTTTTTTAGTTGGCACCGTTTGACTTTTACAGTATTCACACAACACACTTTGATTCGCTTTTGTGGTTTATAAATACGATAAAAAATATTCATGTGAGATCTTGTTTGAATCATTTTAATGTATATTGTATTAATATCCACTTTTTATAATTTTGCAATGATGCTAATTTAATTAGAGATATTAATCGTAAAAACATGCGTTGGCAAACGTGGTAATAGAAAGGTGTTATAAGGAGGGAGGAACAAACTATTGGGATTGATATCAAAAGACATTATTAGTACCAAAAAAAAAAAAAAAGGTAACTCATAAAAAAAAGGTAATATTGTCAAAAGTATTGAAATAGGTTTTTAATTTTGCCTTCCCTAAAAAAGAATGCAGACTTTGTAATACTACCTCCGTTTCTTTTTAGTTGACACATATTCCTTTTTAGGAAGTTTTTTTTAGTTGACACGTTTCCTTTTGGGGTAACTTTTTTACCTTGCATTTACAAGCTACCCCACTTGATTTTTCATTCTCTCTCACTCTCTCTCCTCTCCTTAATACATGTGCCTAAATAAAACGCGTCAACTAAATAGAAACGGAGGAAGTATGAGATAGAGGAAGCAGTACCTAAATTAGTGCTTAATTAAATAAGTCTCATTGTAATCAAACTGAGCCAATTTTGAATGATTCCAAAATTCATACTATTGTTAATGACTGTAGTAATTAGTTAATGATTACAAAATTGTCACTCTTATTTATAATAACTTTGTATATGGGGTATATTTCAACCCTATTGGATCTAAGAAACTTATCTTTCCTGTTTGCTCCTTGAGGCTTATTTCAAAGCTTGCAACAAATATATATCCGCCACTTTCTTTGTGTACAGGGACAGTCTCCAAAAGAACCTTTAATTTGTCCTCAACCTTTTGTTTCTGTAATCATGAAAAAGTAAGTTTAAGACCTTACCAGGCATACAAAATAGAGATAGATAGAGAGAGAGAGAGAGAGAGGGGGGGGGGAAGAGAGAACAAATATTAAGACAATAAAGTTCTTCATGATTTCATTCATCCCGTGTAGAATGAAATCAAAGAGCCAATAACCAATCCATCTAAACTTTCAGATAATATTATGATGCTCTATATTCTAATAAGTTTGAATTACCAAAATATACCATATACAAATAGAAAAAAAGTCGTCAAACACAGATAAGTGCATATATATATATATATAGGCTGAATAAAATCATCACAAAGGTATGATATAAATTCATCCAAGAAATGATGGTTGTCATAATATGCAACCAAGGTCTGCTGGCCTAGCCCTACCTAATCTGGTCAAAGTACCAAAATCAAAGACCAATGATGCTCATTTGCAAGCCCATTTAACTTGGTGATGCATGCATTAACTCAACCAAGAATAGGTTTCATGCGACTCTCAATGCCATGAAGACATTCTACTTAACCATGTTCCTCTTTTCATATCTTTGAAGCTATGAATATATACTTCTGATTAACTAAATATATCCAAAAATACTTTCCTACCTTGTATTTAAACATGACAGCATGACAGAATGAAGAATGATGCATCCATGTAATAAATGTATAATCAATTTGATTCTCTTCAAGTGCAAGCCTTGCCTTTTGGCTATCCACAGAGAAGGGGTGATGATATAACTACATTGTATCATCAATATCAACTCCAAGGATGTAATGTAGGTAGCATCTCAAAACTTATCCGGTCAATCAGGCAATAACAAACTTCCTGTTCAATAACAAACGGACAATCCACCACCCAAATAAGAAACAATACACAGCTAAAGGGTTTAATTAAGCTTAGGACTTGGAGTTCTGAATAGTTCATAAAGTCTGACATTACATTGAACATTTTAGGCTATATACAACTATACTACATTGAGTATAAGATTCAAGCAAATAATATAGGCTATATACAACTATACTACATCGAGTATAAGATACAAGCAAATGGTTTTGCCATCACATTGAACGTTTTAGAGCTTTATCTTACTTTCACCACGACCTCGTCCATACAATAATAATAGCACAGCAATCTCAGGCAGATACTAAACATAATCCATTAATTAGAGATATTTTTTAAACCTCCCAAGTCAACCAACCATGTTAATTGTGTGAAAAAATATAGAATGTTGAGTTTCATTGGTATGTCAATTTTAATCCATGAAGATCACATTGACTGGAAAACTGGCATAATCTCCTTTTAATTAGTGAAGATCCTATACCAAATCAAATAGAAAACTTTTAGCAATATGATATTCTACTTCTATCAAACTAATTACAAAAAACTAACTTATTCACTTCTGCCAATAAAAAGGCATGCCTTTTTATAACTAAGTTCCTCCAATGATATTAGCATCAAGCTTTAAACACAAAAACACCTAGTAAAGCTGAATTAAATTCAGAATCAATATTAAATAAATAAATAAAAACCCAGAAAATCCAACTGCATAAAAACCCAGAAATGAACAAAAATTTAATCAGTCTAACATTCAAATAAAAGGAAAAATCTAAACGAAGAGATGAACATTGAACCAATTAGAACAAGAGAGAGAAAGCAAAAAGAACTATACTTGGACGTCGGATCGGGAAATAACCAAATTACCTTTCAAGTTACTTCAATGGAGAGGAAAGTTATTTTGCTTTAGTGGGGGGTTAGAGAAAGCTCTGAAGTATATAAAAAAAAACCAAATATAAACTTCCCTGGCCATTTTTACAAGTAGATTCAACATAAGAACACAACATTAAGAAAATTTGAAACCGAATATAACAACAACAGTGCAAAATAAACCCTAACTTAAGCATTACCAACAATTATTGACTTCTCCATCCATATGTAAATAACCACTCAAAACTCTCACTAATTCACTTACCAATCCACTAAAAACACTTCAAACTTCACAAAAAAATTGCAGAGACACCATGAAAAATACGTCTTGATTTACCTCCGAATATTAGAACATCTCCAGATTCTAATTTAATCTTATCAGCCTTTTCAGCATCTGCCTGATCACCATATAAAAATTCTGCAGAGTCACCAATGGAGAAAGACACAATAGGTATTCCTTTCCCAAGACTCTCCCGACTCTAATCCTTGTCCTGAAACAAGCAGATGAATGTATCAATCAAGGCAATGAGGTCCTAGAGCTTCACTTTGCTTGACATTATAGAATATAGAATCGTATAATTGTAGAACAAAAAAGCCAAGTTAATTTCCAGATAGGCAACTTACTCTTAACCTATTAAGGTGTTAGTTCCTTAACTTATTAAGCTGACAGACACTTTGGCCCTGTAGTATAGAGGCTATAGAGCATAAAGCAAGTCAGCAAACACCAATTTCCTAATTTTATTCTACCTTTTGGGAGATTAGGTGGTCATTACTTATTAGAGACTATGAGTAAAGAAGTTGGAGTTTTTTTTTTACCAAACTTCAAAAGATGTTCTTTATTGTGTGATACAATGCCCATTAACTTCAATTTTGGAGATCATTTACTTGTTTCTAAGAATTAACAAGATCCCATTTGACAGCAAACGAACAAGCAAGCAAACAAAAAAGATCATAGCAACAGTAAGACAATTTCTAATAGGTATTATAGAAGAGTTGTCCAGATGTTTCTTCAACATGAAAGTGTTAATTGTCACACTGAAAGCTAAGCCATGTAATTTCAATACAAGAAAAATCAGATAAAACTTTCGAATTACGAGCCTGATGTAAACCGAGCTGTCCAGTTTGTGTATAATAATTTACAACTGGGAGAAGAATGTCTTCTACATTATTTGCCTCAGACTGTTTATCTATAAGAGAGTGAGAGTCATTGATGGCTCTTTCAACTAACATTAGAAATTCATGTGGAAGTGACGGTGGTTTTGCTTGATCAATTGGTCGATTTTTTACATATTTGCTGGCATCAGGATCCCAAAACTGACCAAAACACATCATGCTCAAATGCAACTTCCCTCCCTCACGAAAACAAGGCTCATAGAAACCTACAGGGCCCATTCCATGGTCACGACATTTCTTTAAAATGTTTGCCTACACGATACAGGATTTACCCATGTTAATATATTTAATTCCTTGTATTAAGTTAAAGTTTAAAAATGATGCGGAGCAAATTCTGCATCAGAAGTTCCTCTCCTCCTCCATAAGAAAGGAATATTAAGTAGTGTGTTTGTAACACAACAAAAAGAAGTAAATTGACCTCATTTTAAATTAGAAGAGTAACAATTTATTATTTTTTGATGACAAGGAAGAGTAAAATTTTAACCTAAGGAATAGTGACGATTTTATTAAAGCCAATGGTACAATACTACTCTACTGATCATTTAAACGGTTCTGATCTTATTGGCCACCATTAGGCTTGTCACATAAACATGATTTTACATTCTTATAAATGATCAGGTTAGCAGCATTAGGTGGCATGATATATTTACCTTCCAATGAAAAACAGAATTTCCAAATTTCAAAATATGGAGTGTTTCATCTCATCTAATGTGACAACAAAAACAAAGGAAGCTAAAAAAATAATGGCACCTGTTCGGAGGTTGAAAAGTAGCCCTTTAGTAGAACCATTCCAGATCTCAATCAATCAAATTAAAATTCCATCAATTCCACAAAACAGAAACAAACATCAACAACAACACATAAATCACAACACAGATAAGAAAATCATTACAGATATCCTAACATAAGAAATAGCTTTAGAATGCTTAAACCACCCCAAATATTTGAACTAATTAAATTAATTCGGAAAAGCTCCAATTTTAAAATGACCATAATTGAATCGAGAAAACCCCTAAATTTATGAACGGAACTAAAATATGGAAAAGCCTGAAATTTCATCAGATTGAATTGAAAAGTTCCCAATGTACAGACGAACTAAATAGAGGAAACCATGAGAATGAACAATGAAGAGATACCTTTGTAGCAAGTTGCTATGTAAGAGCCATTTGATATCAAATTCAATCGAAAACTGCAGTAAAGCCCACAAATGAACCACCACATAAACTACATTAGTTTCGTCTTGCATTTTTATAAGGGTTATAGATTGAATCAAAACCACCCCATAATTTCTGAAATAATTTTTCACCCTCCATTTCTGCATATATAGAAATTAAAGCACCGCTCATAATCAAGGTACAAGAAACACAACGAAAAAAAGGGAAATGAACACAACCTTAAAGGAAGAAACAATGAATCCCACCCAATCTTCATTAAACAATTACTCATACATCACTCATACAAAAGAACACAAAATAAATAAATTTCAAACCGAATTTAACAATAATGGTACAATCGTTCAAATGTACCACTTCATATTTGACAAAAAAAAGTAGCCTAACATCAACTGAGCTTGTTTCTCAATCAATCAAATTAAAATTCCATCAATTCCACAAAACACAAACAAACATAACAATAACACACAAATCACAGCACAAATCATAAATAAATCATTACATTCTAGAAATTAAAAACAAATCGACCATGCAATAATGTCTGAGTGTCTTCACCTCAAACTCGAATCCACCAAACCTTGCTCCGTCTTACTCCTTCCGCCTATTTTAGAAAAAAAAAACAGAGAAACTGGAGGATGAGAAAAAAAAAAAAAAAAAAAAAAAAAAAAAAAAAAAAAAAAAGACATTCATATTAAAGGTTAGATGAAAATTGAACCAATTTGAACAAGAAAGAGAAAGGGGAGATAGAATTGTACCTGGAGATCAACAATTCTGTTACAAATCAGACAATAATGCTACTAACAATATAAAAAATCAACCCAAAAAACATAAATCAATCAAATTCAACCCAAAAAAAACCACCACACAATCGAAGAAGCACTAAAATTCAACCCAAAAAATGAAAATAAATAGAACAAATAAACCCTTAAAATATCGAAAAACAATAGAATAAATAAAACCAAAAAATCGAAAACAAATCGATCAAATAAACTCCTATTAAAAAAGAAACGATTTCGCACAAATACACCCACAAAGATTCAACCAAAAACATTCGAAAACAACAGGAACATATTAATCTGCAGTTTGGTAATAAGAGTTTTGGAATGAGGGTCCCAAACCTGAATTAAAGTTTTTCATACCAAAACAATTAAAATAAAAAGGTTGTTTAATTTTATACACACAATACTTGGGATTGTATGTTAAATTATTTGTTACTGGTATTATCGGCAGTTCTAGCTATATATTGATATATGGTTCATCACAAATGCTTCATAATTTTAAACATTTAATTTAACATTAATATGATAATCTATTAATTGTTATAATTATATACTTTGAATTCTAACATAATTATCGGCAATGACGAAATACCCATGTAATTGATTTCCATTGTTTGTATTGATTCTGAACAAAGTTTGGGTCTTAAAATTTGATTGTGGAGGAGGAAGGGGAGAGAGAAAGTACCTGCTCGGAGGAGGTCTATGTTGTATGGAAAGGAGCCGCAAATGGCAGCGACATTGATTATTGGTTTCGCTGCTGCTGTTCCCGCCTCCATTCTTATAAGAGGAAAAATCTAATCGAATAGATGAACAAAAGAAATAAACAAAAAATAAATCATAAATTCTTTTGTTTTGTACCTCAGAAACTGCTCCAATGGAGGAGATAGAGAGTGGGAGCGCCGAGAGGAGAAGGAAGAAGCCTTAGGGCAGCCTTAAGGGTGAACAAAAAAATAGTTCACAATGAGTGAACAAGTGAATGGGTGGCTTAATGGTGATCTCTATAATTGTTCATAGTGAATGGTTGTGGGATCTGCTGCAAGGATTTGGACGAATTTATGGATTGTGGGCCCCACTCATTTTTATTTTATTTTTTTCCCCTCTATAAATAGACACCCATATTGCTATACTTTCTTCAACTTTGAAAATCCATTTCTTTCTACTATATTTTTCTCTTCAAAAATCCCATCTATAATTACCAATATTATTATTATTAATATTATTATTATTATTATTATTATTATCATCATCGTTATTATTATCATTTTTATTATTATTATCGTTATTATTATTATTTCCTTTATTATTATTATCGTTATTATTATTATTTTTATTATTATTGTCGTTATTATTATTATTATTAAATTTTTATTTTTTCCAAATATAAATTATAATTATGGATGCTAATACCAACCCCAAAACAAATAGAAAGAAGAAAAAAAATTTGGGTCAAAATATGATCCTTCAAGCTCGTTTTGCCATTATTAAAAAGCCGTCTTTGGCGTGGGATACCGACATACTCCACAATATCATGCTCGTCTGCATCATAATACATAATATGATCGTTGAAGATGAACGAGAGACGTATCAAAATAACGTTAATACCAATGAGTTTATGAATGCTGGAGGCAACGCTAATGAGGACACTACCGAGTACCGTACTGATCGTATTGTGGATATCGGCTTATACTTGTCTCGTAGAACAGAGATTGAGGATCAACAGACTCATTTGCAGCTAAAAAACGACTTGGTCGAACATATATGGAATAAATTTGGTAACAACGAAAACTTAGGCAACTAGGTTTACAACAAATGGTTATCCCTAAGGACATCTTACAAAACGATGTGTAGTTGTTTTTTTTAAAAAATAAAATGTACTAGATTATAGTTGTAGAACTGTAATCACGATTTGTACCTCTTTTTTTTGTTAATTAAAAGTAGCTGCGTTGTTGTTTAAAAAATATTAATCACAAGAATTAGTTTTTTAAAAAGCTGATAAAAAAATACGATAATTTCTTAATTAGTAATCACGATTAAAATATTAAATACGTCAATTAATTACATTGACATCGGGTTAATAAATTATAATTATGAAACAAAAAAAATTATATTTACAAAAATAAAATAAGGTGGGGTAGGGAGTATTGATGATGAACCATTGTTTAGTGTTCATTGTTAAGAGTGAATATTGTAAATGGTTTGTTGGGTTGATGTGGATGAGAGAGAAATGGTGATAGTGACCCATGAACCATTTATTTGGGTTCACCAATAAAAATGCTCTTAAGAGTTAAGAGAGAGAAGACAGCTGGCGACAGCCAGGCCACCAAAGAAACAAAACAATAAAGGGCAAAATCGGCAATTCAATGAATTCAAGGACATCTCTGTAATAGCACCAACGGGTACTATTCATAAGCTACAGTTAAAACTTTTGCATTTTTATAAGGTTTAAGGATTTGACACTTAATAAGAGTAAATTAATATAATCATAAAAGAAGAGTAAATCTTCAATAATAAATAAATAAAAAGAAAATTTTATTAAGTGAAAAAAAAAATAAAGGCCTATAATTGTAGAAGGACCAAAATTGTAATGAGTAGATCGTGAGCTAGCTACTCGACTTGACTCTAAATTTTAACGAGCACAAGTCGAGTAGGTTTTATTGGCTCGAAACTTTAGCAAGCACAAGTAAAAAGTTTTTTAGTCAAGTCGAGCACCCCTCAAATCGTGATTTGACTCGCTCGATTAGCACCCCTAGTCTAAGGAATTGTGTAAACTAGAGCAGAATATATCATACGTGAAAGAAAACAACACAAACTGAAATATTGGTACGAGTAGTTATTGAAGTCCCTTGAAAATAATTTAAGAAAAATATTGATGAGATGGGTATTCATCCTTTTTTTTTAATATATATAGAATTTAAGTATGGGAGATTTGGAGGATTGTGGTGAAGTGTTGCAAAATTGACTGTACAATAGATTACTTTGATTAGTTTATGTAACTTATATTAATAAAATATACATGTGAGATTTTTTTATAAAATTGTCTAAATGTATATTTTCATAATATTACAAAGTAATTTTTTATACACAAACTATTGCGTAAGTCCAGCACTCGAGCCTGACCAAATGTTTCGTCAGTCCAGCGGGTTTTTACTTTATACCAATGATCGCTCCCATCCGCAGCGTTGTTATTGGCAGTGGTATCGTCGACGGCGAGAAGCTCGTTGATTGTTGATTATATTTGTTCATGATTATGCTAGAATTGGCTTGATGATTGCTTGAGATTCTCGAATATTTCGAAAAAGGCCCAAAAAATCGATTTTTGGCTTTCTTGGGTGATGTATAATTGTTGAAATTGATTGTCCTATATGGTTGTATGTTGAATTGTGGGCGTTTTGATAACAAATGCATGTATTTTGTTTGAAAAATGAGCATGTTATGTTATAATCACGAGCTTGGTACGAGATCTTCAATTATGGTTCCTCCATTATTGACCTTTTAATTATCTTTATTAAATAAAGGAGTTATATTGCCTAGATTATATCATCTACAATAAGTTGGATGATATCCTCTATAACATGATGTGATATGATGTATATCAGCCAACAAAAGCAACATATCAGCGAACAAATGAAGCATATCAGCCAACAAAAGATAAATATCAGCCAACAAAAGGAACATATCAGCCAACAAAAAAAGATAAATATCAGCAAACAGATTGAACATATTAGCTAACAAATGAAGCATATCGACTAACAAAAGGATCATGAAATCAGCCAACAAAAGCAACAAGTAAGACAACATATTGTACATATCCTTTATCAAATAAAATATATCCGCCAACAAACTTTACGTATCCTCTATTAAGTAATACATATCCTCCAACAAGTTGTACATATCCCCCATCAAATACGATATATCCTCCATCAAATACTATATATCTTTTAATAAAATGTACATATTCTCTATAAACTAAGACATATTCTCCACCAAATACTAGCTACACCATATCCTCTAACAAATTGTATGTATCTTCTATATATCAAAGATAAATTGTACATATTCACAATATAATAATATATAGGAAAATTTGTGAAAAATGTCCTTTTAAGTAGACCTTTTTGTGACAAAGGCCATTTTATAAAAAAAGGTGGCACAAAAGGTCTTTATAACATGTTTGGGTTGTAAGGAGGGTCCTTTGACCATTTTCCGACGTTGACTTTTTTAATTTCCGGCCAAAAAAAATTGCATGTAAAGCACGTAACTTATTAAGTTCCTTTTTTTCCCTGTTTTCTCTCATTGTGGGGGAGGATTAGCCTTGAATTACTTTGAATAGCCTTCAATTTTAATTTATGGGATTAAAATTGAATTTTTAGTGTTAATTATTTTCAGAAATTAGGGTTTAGTAGGGGAAAAAAAGGAAAAACGAGGGAAAAGAGAAGGGAGAAAAAAAGGGAACTTAGATGTGACTTTTTTTTGCCGGAAAATAAAAAAGTCAACGTCAGAAAATGGTCAAAGGACCCTCCTCACAACCTAAACATGATATAAAGACCTTTTGTGCCATCTTTTTTTATAAAAGGGCCTTTATCACAAAAAGGTCTACTTAAAAGGACCTTCCTCACAAATTTTCCTAATATAAATCCTACAAAAAATTGTACGTATCCTCTATCAAATAATACATATCCATCAACAAGTTGCACATATCCTCTATCAAATAATACTTATCCTATATAAAATATTGCATTTCATATATACTTGACGCACGAATTATTGTTTGGTGCGACTTGCCACACTCAATACCTTCTCTTTTTTATAAGATTAGTTTTTTCTTTACTATTTTTTTATAAAGGTATCTTTATACTAGTAGAATTGTCTAAATGTAAGTCCCTGTTCTTTTGAGCTTCTGAGTAGAGGAGGGCAGAGCAAAGCATATTTCAGTAAAGCAGAGCATGACTTCCACACACTGCAGTACCAGAGTAGATTTCAGCAGAACAAAGTAGGACATAGCAAAGCAGAGCAGTGGAAAGTAGAGCAGGTAGCTCAAAAGAATAGGGTCGAACTCCTCCTAAAACTCTCTCAAAGAAGGGTTTAATTTATTTCCTTTCGGCAAATGGCCGACGATATAGTCTCACAGTGCTTGTCACTTCGACTGGAAGACAACGAGGGCAGTCTAGTAGACCTGGCAGCATGGAGGAATTAGGAATTTGTATCATAGAACAAGATTGAACTACTCTAACTTCCCATTGACTGTCACACATTAGCTTATGACAATGGTTAATGTCATGGACACATTCACCACTTCATTACTGTCAATCAAAATAATGGTTTATTATAGTTGTAATAAAAGTATAAAAGTAATAATTTGCAAATCAATCAAAATTGGAAAGTTAAAATTTGGAATTGATTGTTCAAATATTTTTTATTTACAAATCATATATACATGGAATTATGACAATAATGATAATATACTTAGGGAAATGGAATCTATCATTGATAAATCAATAAAATTTAATTGGTTAATTACAATAACAAGTATAATGGAATCTATCATTGATAAATCAATCACAATTGGAAATACACAATTTGGCATTAATTATTCAAATAATTGGCATCAGTAATTAAGAATTTATTGATTAAGGAATATGACAATTGAAATAGAAAATAATCATAGGCAAATCTATCACAGTTGGAAAGATAAAATTTGATGTAAAATTTTCAAATTAGGAATTATAAATCATGAAATTATGACAGTAATGAAAATGCATAGGGAATTACAATAAATATTAAATGAATGATTATAATAACAAGTGAATTGGAAACTTACTTGATAAATCAATCACAATTGGAAATATACAATTTGGCATTAATTATTCAAATAATTGACATCAATTAAGAATTTATGAATTAAGGAATATGACAATAGTATGATGAGAATACAATTAGGTACCTACCTTCAAAGAGCTATATAATTACAATTGAAAAAGAAAATAATTATAGGCAAATATATCATAGTTGGAAAGATAAAATTTGGCATTAAATTTTCAAATAATT